AACAATATGCTGCTAATTATGACGTTCCAGCATATTTTATGGCCCTTAATTTTATTCGATGCTTGTTAGAATCGATAATATATAAAATATAGAGTAAAAGTATATGTTTATATATGGTAAATATGAACCTGTATTGGTTAATTCATTGAGAATTACACACAAATCACACACAAATCACACAAAAAAAAATCACAAATTGGAACATTGTCCCCGATTGAAACATTTATCTTTTTCACATGTGTATCTCGCACAGGTATGAAAATGATTTCCGATATCACATTTTTAACTGCAACGGTTAAACTATTCTTATGCTTGCAATGAAAAACAAGAAAACGATCAGAGAGAGAGAGAGAGAGAGAGAGAGAGAGAGAGAGAGAGATTTGTAGAAACATTACTAAAACAATATTACGAAATCGCTGACCTAGTCCAGTTTCCGAGAAACTGATATGCAAAGTACACGATTTCTCGTATTATTCTCGTTAACACAAATCTAATATCAATATCTAATATCTGAAATCGTGAGACTTAATTCCTCGGCCGATAAATCGATAATTCCAACAATCTCGGGACTTAACCATTGTCTGTCATTTTTCATTCCTCGGAAATAGAGAGAAAAAGAGAGAGAGAGAGAGAGAGAGAGAGAGAGAGAGAGAGAGAGAGAGAGAGAGAGAGTGAGAGAGAGAGAGAGAGAGGAAGGGAAGGAGGGAGATGCAATTTATCGAGAAAAGTAGCGCTTTATCGGCGAATGATCGAAAACATTCGATGCATCGCATCGAGAAGCTCCAAGACCGAATTAATCGCGTAATCTTATTCCGCCATGGGCTGCTGTAATTAGTGCAGCATTGAGCCTGGAGATTCGCGGCCTTATCTACAGGCGCGTACCAACGCCGCACGTGCGTGCGTGCGTACGTGCGTGCGTGCACGCGTGCGTACGTGCGACGCTGAGACGTCAGGCGTGCGCACGCGTGCGCACGCGTGTGTGCGTACGTGCGCACACCTGTTTCGATATGGTCTAAGTTTAGGACGATTATCAGGTGTGTATTTGGAGTAATGTACGCAGTCCGGAGGCTTGGTCGGTAAACTCCGAGCCGTCTCAGATACGCACTCTCACTCGTTATGTTATGACACACGGCTCGCCAGCTGGAATTCCTGTGCGCGGTTGATTGGTCATTACACAGACGCCATTACGCGCCGCGATTTACAGCCACTCGCTAATTAAGTTTATTGCCACGGCGCGCCGCCTGAATACACTTTGTGAGCGCGGGCTCTTCTTGTCGCCATTTAAGCTGCTTACTTTATCAATGATCTGTATTTCATCGCGTATTATTCGCAGTCGGTTTGTGACGGGCTCATTATTTATTAATATATGCAAACGACAGGCATGTCCCTTCATTTTGGTAAATGATAAGCCTGGAGAATATAATGTTTCTCTTTTTCTTACAACTGTTGAGATATTTTACGAGCGTTTTACATTTTTCTAAAGAAGCGTCACACCGACCTGTCGAACTTTATCAAGGTTTAGTACTTTCAAGTACATATTAAAAATGTGCATTGCATTAAAAATGTCTGACGATATCTCATCTAGAGTTTTTTAGAGTCGCTGAAAAAATCAAAATCTATGGATAAAACTTTTCATTTTAAAAATTTAAGATAGTGGACTCTATATGGCGGCTAGAAACATAAAAACATAGATTTATTTTGGGAATATACAATGCTTTAGATTTTTTGGAAAAAAAGTGGCATGTTTTACATTTTTGACGAAAGAAAATGTTAATAGTAAAATAAAAGATGGCTGACAATCCTACTAAAATACTATGTAATGTACACGGAAAAGAAACTTGTGTAATAATTTTTATGAAAGATTCGTAGAAACTTTATTTTTTGAAAATCTGCTGAATATTTGTTTATTTATAATACTTTTGCAATTAATAATTAAATGATTATACATATTTTTGATGCACTTGCAAGTGTTTTAAGAACTCTGAAAACCCTATATTTTTGTTAAAAAGTTTTAAAAAATTTCAGAAACTAAAAGAAAAATGGTGAATCGTCCCACCATATCGTAAAAGCTTAAAAAAATTCGTAAAAACCATTGCCGACAATGACAATAATTGTCAGTAGTATGATAATATTGATCCTGAATGATGCGTATAGAGAAAAAGGGATTAGTTAAATTAACGCGACGCTGAACGTACCGAAGGCGTTTTTGTCGAAGAAGACGAAGTCTCTGATTCTCACGAACCAAATTCGCTTGCACAAATCAGTAATTTTGTTCCGTCCAATCAAAAACATGTTTGGTCCGTTCGTTGTCGCATAAACTCTCTCGACCAATCTCTTCTCTCCGTGTATTAGGCACGTAAATCGCTTCAGAGCTTTTCGTGAAACGTGATGACTCGAAAGTGTTTTCATAAGCATGCCCGCCAGGTGAGAGCGATTTATTTAACACGACGCAGAACTCTGTAAAATATTCGCTCGTTACGTCGTCCACCAAGGCGAGTGCGTGAGCGACTTCTACCTAGAAGACGTTTAAAAGCGAACGTGCCTCGTCTCACGTATATCGCAAGGACTCCGATCTGCTGCGAGATACGAGAAGGCACGAGAAGTCTCCGCATGGAAGACTCTCAGGGACTGTGCGTGCAAGGTGCAACTCACGTGCTCAAAGGGGCAATGCTACCCGGGGCAATAGCGATGTATTAATCTTTGAAAAACGCGTCAAACATGCACCGACGCGGCGGATGCTGCCGCACACACACACACACACATGCACGCGCATACACATACCTATCGCAATCGACGCCATCAAAATTCCGCGGCGCTCTGCACTCGATATCCAGTCTGATATCCCGAGCGCAACCATCCATACAAATCGGATCTTACTAAATTGGAGTACAATTTTCACGAGCGTAGTTCCAGGCTTCCGAACCGCGCGGCTCGGATAAAAGGGAAAAAAAAGGAAGGAAGGAGGAAGACGAATAAGAAGAGAGAGAGAGAGAGAGAGAGAGAGAGAGAAAGTGCGAGGAAGAGAGAGAGAGGGGGAGGAGAGAGAGTGGAGAAGATGGGAAGGGGTAAAAGGGGGACAGAGAGAGAGAGAGAGAGAGAGAGAGAGAGAGAGAAGGAGGGAAGGGGTGGAAGAAGGTAAGAGAAAAGTCCCTATCCCTTTCTAAGCCGGCCGTGGAAGATGAAGCGAATCAAGTAACAGCAGTGGCTTACGTGCGATGCACCCCTAAACCGTCGCCGAGGGAGCATCGCGTGGAAATGCGTTACCTCACGGAAGGTCTGTGCTTAGAATTCTCAAGCTCGGTAAATTATATTTCATGTCACGAAGTCGATGATTCCTGAAATACATAAGTCGCGCGATGGTAATTTCATTCCCTTAGTCCCGCGTCGAGCATTGTTGCGTGGTCCTCGCATTTGCGGACGAGCATGGAAGGACAGGGGGAGGGGTGGAGTGGGGGGTAGGAGTGGCACGACTTTCGAGCAAAGGAGGCAACACAGAAACAACGAGTTTCTGTCTGCGCAAGCAGATTCGTGAGATGATACCGAGCCGTTCTTCTCAAATGCGCCAAAGAACGTTGATATGGTTTGCGACATCGCGTTATGTCGTCCAAATTTCCCCACCTCGACACGCCAAACGAACTTTTAGCTTGACGTTTGTGTCTGATGATTAAGGTGATGAGTGCTTAATCAACAACCGGCCAGAAATTCTGGCTATTTGCCAGCTCCCGACTAGTTTCTTTCCTTGTTTTTCTTAACATATACTCACCAGTTTCACTTGCCCATTTTCTGGCCATTATCTTTCTGCCAAGAAATACCAATTGGATTTCTCTGGCCAGTCTCCGAGCAATTACTGTCTACTAAATCTGAGTTAATAAAACCTGGCTAGTTGTTCTCGGTAACGACCAGTTTTTTTGGCAATTTTTCTATTTGCATTCCCACTATGATAATTGTACAATTGAGTAATTGTACAATTGAGCATGTCATTTCGTATGATGCATCTTATTTATTTCTTTTTTCTATATATTTAGTCACGTATACATAGTAACCGTTACACACTCAGTATTTAACCCTTTAACGCCCGACTTTTTCATAAGTGTTTTAAGAATAAAATTTGAGTTTTTTTGAACTGAGACTATAAGTAGTGATAACCTAAAAAACATCAGAATTTTATACGGACTTTTGACGACTTTTGAACGGAAAATGTAAAGTAATAGTCTATTTCTGAACGAATAAATTTGTATTTTTTTTGTAAATATAACGGTAAAAATGATAAACATGAACATACTCAAAGATGGTTATCCAGATGGAAAAACCGTGAAATAATTACACGAAAAATCAGCATCAATCGTTTACTTCTGAATAAATGAGTACATGAAGTTTCCGCTTTTCGTTTGTTGGTTCCGTTAGTTTGGTATTTTTATCGTTCGTTTTTTGTTTATTGGTAAATATGACTTGGATCCTAAAAGCATATACGAAATGAGCAACCTATACAGAGAAAAATGAAGGGTAATACGACATAACTCTGATAGTCAGCTTGACATTTTTGAGCTGAAATTTTACTATATTTGTGAGTGAAGTTTATCATTCAGAGTGTCAAGCTTACTATTTCAGAAAAATATCTTATAGATATCACCATTCAATCGTTCCTCCATTTTTCGCCGCATAAAAAACTGTAGGTCACCAGGTTTCACGAAAATAAATAGATTGATTTCTTGATTTTCGTGTCTACCATATTGGATACGCCATTTTGAATTTCTGTATTCTTTTAATTTCACATTATGCATCTGAGAATGCATCTTCCAAATGTATAAAATTATAACAGTTACTCAATCTATTCATTTATAGTGTTCTAGATGTCAATAACAATGCTAACTATGTCTACTTGGAATTTGACAAAACATGTTATCATTAAAACTAAGCTAAAAACAGACTAAACCGAATCTACATACAATCTATATACCATTTTTTAGAAGAAGAATTCATCTTTACAGCGGTGCAAAGAAAACGAAAATATCTCCCTTTTTAACTAAGTTATGGATTCTTAAATGCGTTTCTGGTAACTATAGTTACCAGTAGGCGTTAAAGGATTAAACTAAAACGTTTGTACGGCAGCCTTAAGTCCAAATTAATAATTTCTCTACAGAAGCACTTCTCCCTCTACTCCGTCATTGTTATTGTCAAGCCAGATTTCGTTGTCATTATTAGCAGCGCTGCCGTGGCCATTGAATGTGTCGTTTATTCTTTCTTTATTGCTCATTTTTACCGGGTATAGTTGATGTCATACTTTGCCATGTCGTAGCTCGCCGTATCGTCGTCTACTTCTGCATTGTTTCTTCCGTTGCATTGTTGCCTTTCAGGTAATTATTTTTGGAGATCTATGTAGTAACCTTCTACTCTTAACTATAATCCCTCATTCATTTTTCCTATTACTAGCACCGTTAAGGCTGACATGCCGACACCATCTGAGGACGGCAGAAAGATAATCTTTTTGCTATTCAGACTGCTAATTTTAACGTAGGTGATGATTTCGTTAGGCGGGCATGTCACATAGATTGTGGCTTTCATCTCCTTCCAAGGAATCTTAGGCTGCAATAAATATGCAACATTATTTATATATATAGATATTATTATGTTGATATTAACATATTATACTAAAAAAAAATGATTCGAAATAAACAGATAGTGCAAATGAAGAAATAGATTAATAAATATTAATACGACCGTGTTTTCTTATAAAAATTATCAAACGCTCGCTATGAATCACACGGGGCAAAGACGAATCTTAATTTCATCACGCGTGACACGCATGAATTAACACGAGAAATACATTTCTTTCGCATTCGTTCAAAATCGAATGGACAGTTTGCTTCTACGAAGTAAAGATCACAAAGTAATTCGATTCGGAAAAATCGGTGACATGAGAAGTTTGCGTTCTTCGGTCATGATATATAAATGAGCATTTACATTAGAGATGGTGCTGTTGTTAACTAGGTGGTCACCCGGCTGGCGTTCGCCGCGTTCGAAGTCGTTTGCATAATTCGTTTGCAGTCGTTCGTTTAATATGCAGACGGCTATGAAAAGGCATAAAATCGCGACGAATAAAGAGCGCACCTTGGATTCTTGGTTTGTCGTGGACTCATTTGTCAGCGGAAACTTCATTGCTCGATCGATGATCGCCGTCAATATTTATTTGTATACTGTCGTTATCAATATTTTGGCCTTGTTTCAACAAGGTATCATATCATATTAGTTCAAATATTTCTATCGCCTAACGCTGAGATGACAACTTACATAAGATCATTTGTTTCCTTCTCTGATGCGCTTTTACCTTCCATACGCACATCTTTATCTTATCCTTGACGACAATGAGGCGCATTAATTATTATATTTACGCACGAGACGCAATATTTCTATTAGTTCCATTATTTTATCATTCATTACATAAGACTTGTCGAAAAGACCATTTAAGATAATTAAAATGTGGATCCTACAAAGAACATACGCAAAGTTTCATCCCCTTTATGCTATCTCGATAAATATTGCAGATAGGTAAAAAATTTTTTAAACAAAAATTGTACAGATTTTTATGCCGTACAATTTTTGTTTAAAAAGTTTTTTCCTATTTATAATAATTATCTAGATAGCATAAAGGGGATGAAAGTTTGAGGAGCAGTTTCACTCACGTGTTAAACTTGATCCATTGCCGAGAAAAAAAAATATGGGTTTCTTATTTTTGGCTACTCTACAATGCCAAGTTGCGTCGAAATCGAAGACATACACTTCGCGGATGTTTCTTGTTAGTACAAAATCTCCGAGCAATTACTGTCTACTAAATCCTAGCTAGTAAAAAACTGCCAGTTGTTCTCGGTAGCGACCAGTTTTTCTTGACAATTTTTCTGCTCGTATTCCCACCGCGATAATTATACAATCGAGTAATACGTCGCCCCGTATGATGCGTCTTATTTATTTTTTTCTATATATTTAGTCACATATATATATTAGGTACTTGAATAAATTTCCGCCCTTTACTGATAGATGATATTAGCAGTACTATGTGCATGTAGTTTAAGATGATAATACATCCATATAGAAGTACTACAATCATAGTTTAGTATTCAGTATTGCCATTTGATTGCAGTTGTAAACAACGAATTTTTCTACTGCATTGAAAATGTCGAATTTTGTACCGAAAAAACAGCATTTGCGAGAGGTCTTACTCCATTATTTCATTTTAAAGAAAGGTGCAGCTGAAAATTACCGTTCGCTCGTGGAACATTATGGTGACAATGCTCTAACCGAAAGAAGTTGGTTGAACCGAAGATAATGGTTTCAACGGTTTAAAGGTGGCGACTACGACGTGAAAGACAAAGAACGCTCTGGTGTACCAAAAAAGTTTGAAGACGAAGAGGAGTTGGAAACATTACTGAACAAAAATCCACATCAAACGCTTAAGGAATTGTCACAATCATTAAATGTTATATGAATCGACTATAAGCGAGTGCTCAAAAGCAATAGGATTTATTTATAAACAAGACTACTGGGTGCCACATGTTTTGAAAGACAGAGACGTTGAAAAACGTTTAACCATGTACGAATTATTGCTTCAAAGACAGAAAAGAAAGTCATTTTTGCATCGAATCGTTATTCGCGATGAAAAATGAATTCATTACGATAATCCAAAAAAAAGAAAATCATGGATAAAGCCTGGTCAACCATCAAAATCAACGGCAAAACTGGATATTCATGGGAGAAATGTCATGCTGAGTATTTAGTGGGATCAAAAGGGTGTAATATACTACGAGCTGCTGAAACTGAATGAAACCATCACTGCTGATCGCTATCGAGAACAAATAGTCAATTTGAGTCGATCATTGAAAAAGGCATGACAAAGTCATTTTTCAACATGACAATGCTCGACCGCATGTAGCGAGACCGGTTAAGGAAACATTAAAACTGCTCGGATGGGATGTGTTACCTCACCCGTCGTATTTACCGGACCTTACGCCATTGGACTATCATCTGTTTCGATCGATGCAACATGGTCTTTCGGAGCAGCATTTCACTTCTTGTGAGAATATAAAAAATTAGCTCGATGGGTAGTTCAGCTCAAAAAAGGAACATTTTTTTATCGCGGAATTCATTTGTTGCCTGAAAAGTGGCAAAATGTTATAGCTAACGGAAAATATTTTGAATGATGTATTGTTTATTCTTCTATTTTACTAAATTACATAAATTTGAACAAAAAACGGCGGAAACTTATTCAACCTAATACATAGCAATCGTTACACATTCCAAACTTAAATTAAAACATGCATACGGCAGACTTAAGTCCAAATTAATAATTTTTCTAAAGAAGTGCTTCTCTTTCTACTCTATCATTATCATTGTCAGCCCAGATTTCGTTATCGGTAGTACTGTCGTTGCCATTATAACCTATTCTTTCTTTATTGCTCATTTTCACCGGGTGTAGTTGTCTTCGTACTTCGATGTCATAGCTCGTCATGTCGTTGTCTATTCCCACATCGTTTTTTCTAAGGGAAACATGCTTGACTCTATGCAGTAACTTGTTACTCTTAACAATAATTCCTCATTTTTTTTTGCTGTTGCAATCACCGCTAAGGAATTCATGCCGACATTACCAAACAGTTGAAAGTCAACCTCTTTGTCTTTTATGCTGCTAATCTTAATGTAACTGACAACGTCGTTAACGTCCGGGCACGTTATGTCGATTGAGGCTCTTGGGATGGGCTCCCAAGAGTTTGGAAGCTGCAATAAATATGGGATATTATTTTTATATTGTATATACATTCTTATATTGATCATTAACGTATTGTACTGGAACATTAACATATTTGGGTAAATATGTACATAAGGTCAACCTCCTCAAAAGTCGATGACCTTGCTATATGTTGCTAAGGACACGTTTCTGAGTGTTATGCAAAAAATTGCAGCCGTCGCTCATTGTTTGTTAAAAAGTTATTAACAAAAGAAGTTGAATAGAATGTATGTAATTTTCGAACAACGTGCACATATTGTTATTATATAAGTTATAAAAGAAGGAACTATAATAACATAAAATAAATTAATATAATGAAATATGTCAAAATTAATAAACAAATGGTATATAATACGTATTAATCCGATGCAATATAAATGGTATTAACTATTTATTATCTGTTACAATATTTTCAATAGGATATATTTGTGACATAATAGTAAAAAATACATTACACATTCATTGCGTGGAAAACGACGTTTAAACAAAAACTTGGTTAAGTAATATATATATGTAATGCTCGATAGATGTACCATAACATAAAACAGTAGCTCACATATCACACCAAATTCTTTGAATGTTTTGTATATGACTGTTTATATTTGGATCAACGAAGTTCACACAGTATAATGCAAATAATTATTTTTATCAATATTATTATATCCTCGATAACAATCACTGTGTATTACAGTTGATCCTAGGTAACGTTAAGAATAAGATATACACACACGCATGCATATGTACAAGCACGCACTCACACGAGATTTAAATCCGATCATCTACCACCACGTAGAACATTTTGATCGAGTTACATGTTAATTTCTTTTTTGAAAAAGTTTTCCACGATAATTTTTATTTTGAACCGCAGACTTTATAAGAAAAGGTTGTTCATTTTGTAACAATTTTTTCAAAACGGCATAAGTTTATCAAAAAGGGTCGTAGAAAAATTATTAAAATATGGATTTGTTAGGAAATGAATGAGCTTTTAACTTCATACATTTTTGTACAGGAAACCGATTTCCCTGACCAACGCAACAGTTAAAAAACAAATTTTTTTCTCACTAATCAAAGTCTATCTTCAACATCTGTCACTTTGTAAAACATTTATTATAATTCACTTTTAGGTTTTTGGTTGCTAACAAGAAATGTCCAAGCTTTAATTTGAGCTTTATTTCACCTCAATACGATGATTTTTAGTTAAGTTACCGCTATTGAAAGATGGTAGAAACCTGTGCTAAAATTTAGTGCCCCGTTTTTTTTTGCGGGTTAGTATATTTTTTTTTACCGATTTTCGCTTCATCAATTTCAATAATTTTTCTATGTCACCCAATATGATCTTTATGCACTTACTGAGATAATAATCAAAGAAAATGATATATATAAAAAAACATAAGGTTATTATTTCTTTTATATAAGGAAATCAAAGAACATTCTCACTTCAGAATTATTTATAAATAAATTGCACTTATCTCTCTATAGAAATTAGTCCAATCTACAACGCTATGAGTACTCATGTTTAACCCATTTTGTAAAAATGTTTGTCTTGCCGGAGGAAACATTAAAAAGTAACCAATAAAGCAGTAGATTTTTTGTAATCCTGATAACCAGGTACCATAAAAGGCACTTATTGCGAAGTAATAAATTTTTTTTATGTTTACGACCACCGATTATTTCGTTATAAATGTGCGTACATTTAAATATATATTGTGTATTGTAAACATAGAATTGTAATATGTTTTCACATCGTGGACATTTAATTTTTTTGCGAATAACTTTTTTCCGCAGAGATAATTCAGTAACTGGTCAAAATTATAAGTTAAATAAATAAATTGATGTAGTAACATGTTGACCAGTTCTTAGTTTATAGATAATTAAACTGAACTGTGATTGAATGCACCAAGAAGTGAGATAAATACATCAAAATAAACATTTAAGCTTCTGTATATACGACTATATATATGACTGTATAGAGGATGTTTGAAATGGAATAACGTTCTCGCATACATAGAATGTGCCAAACAGAGTAGAAATAATTTCTATCGCATTTTATAAAAACTATCAAACTAATATCAATATATTATTTCAACTTATACGAACATTGTATAAGCATTATAATATAAGCTTATAATATAAATTTAAACTAGTATTTAAATCTTTCGTTTTACTAAATCGATGAGTCTACCATATACTAAAAATGAAAATTTTCAAAAGATTAGCAAAAGCCTTTACGTAAGGTTTGCATTTTAAATAATATATTTATAGAAATATATTATTATATATTTTGTAATACATCTAAAACTAGATTTAAATAATATTTTAAATTATTTAAAATATATCTTTGTGTAGGCGCCAATGTTATTCTCTCGAAAATCTTCATTTTTAATGTGTCATTTTAGAATCATCAGTTTAGTAAAGTGAAAAATATACGAGAAAATAAGAGAATAATAATTTGCACTTGTTATATGTAAAAATATTATAGTATGGGTCCAAAATGTTATATTAGATAATAGTTAATACTATTTATACTGCTTCGGATTAATATGTATTATGCACCATTTGTTTATTTGACATATTTCATTATATTAATTTATTTTATGTTATTGTAGTTCCTTCTTTTATAACTTATACAATAACAATGTGTGCACGTTGTTTGAAAATTACATACATTCCATTCAACTTCTTTTGTTAATAATTTTTTAATAAACAACGAGTGATGGCTGCAACATAACACTCAGAAACATGTTGTTAACAATATATGTCAAAGTCAAGGACTTTTAAAGAGGTAATGACCTTATGTGCATATTTACCTTAACACGCATGAATTAACGAGAAATATATTTCTTCTTTTTGCATTCGTTCAAAGTAGAAAGGACAGTTCGCTTCTGCGAAGTAAAATTCATAGAGCAATTCGGGAAACTTGGTGACGTGAAAAATCTGCGTTCCATAGTCATGTTGTAGAAACGAGCATTTACCTCCAGGATGGTCTGGTCGATGATGCAGTGGTCGTCCTTGAGGCGTTCGCCGCGCTCGAAGACGTTTCCTAGTATGCAGACGGCCATGGAAAGGTACAAAACCGCAGTGAGCCAAGAGCGCATCTTGAATTCTTGGTTTGTCGTGAATTCACTTGTCAACGAAAACCTTACTGCTCGACCGATGGTCGCCATCAGCATTTATATACTATCGATATCAATGTTTCGGACTCATATATGAAGTATTGTATCATGTTAGTTCAAATGTTTCTGCCGCTGTGACGACAATTTACGTAAGATCATTTGCCTCCGTCTCTGACGTGCTTCTCCCTTGCATACGCACACCTTTATCTTATCCTTGACGATAATAACAATATGGCACATTAATTATTGTATTTACGCACGAGAAACGTCATTTTTCTTAGTCCCACTATTTTATCATCCATTATATAAGGCATACTGAAATTATCGTTTAACATAATTAATGTGCATCTTACAAGGAACATCCGCGAAGTGTGCGTGTCCGATTTCGATGAAACGTGACATATTTGTAAAGTAGCCAAAAATAAGGGATCCATATTTTTTTATTGGCAATGGCCCAAGTTTAAAAGGTGAATCTGTCCCACAAAGTTTCATCCCCTTTATGCTATTTCAATAACACAGACCGACAAAATTTTAAAAAACTCCAGACCTTGAGACCAGACTATACTTTCCCGAAGGTTTTCGGTCCGCTGAATCCGAATTCGGCAGCGGAATTGTTCCATAACATCAGGTTTTCGAGATATTCTAATCTGAAAGTGCAAAAAACACAGTTTTTCGCTATATTCGGGGTTATATTACAACGTGAATTAATTTTTCTCTACAAAACTCGTTACAGTATCTGAAAGTACTACTCTTCGCCTTCAAAATGCATTTTGAATTTTTCATATATCTTATTTCTTCTCGGAGATATCGTCCGTTGAAATTTTTTAGTTTGGCGTTTTCGTTACTACCTTACAAAAAAGAAAAAGAAGTTAATCAGGCACGTGAAAGTTGTGTAATTATATGTTTTTTAGGACGCTGAATCCGAATTCGTTGTCGGTTCAACCCCATGACCATCAGGTCATGGTTTGTCCCTAATAATTGATCAAAAAAAGGTGAATTCGAAAACCTTTTTTGAGGTTAGGGACAAACCATGACCTGATGGTCATGGGGTTGAACCGACAACGAATTCGGATTCAGCGTCCCAAAAAACATATAATTACACAACTTTCACCTGCCGGATTAACTTCTTTTTCTTTTTTGTAAGGTAGTAACGAAAACGCCAAACTAAAAAATTTCAACGGACGATATCTCCGAGAAGAAATAAGATATATGAAAAATTCAAAATGCATTTTGAAGGCGAAGAGTAGTACTTTCAGATACTGTAACGAGTTTTGTAGAGAAAAATTAATTCACGTTGTAATATAACCCCGAATATAGCGAAAAACTGTGTTTTTTGCACTTTCAGATTAGAATATCTCGAAAACCTGATGTGATGGAGCAATTCCGCTGCCGGATTCGGATTCAGCGGACCGAAAACCTTCGGGAAAGTATAGTCTTGTCTCAGGGTTTTAAAAATGTCGGCCTGTGTAATTATCGCAGATAGGAAAAGACTTTTTAAATAAAAATTGTACAGATTTTTATGCCATATAATTTTTGTTTAAAAAGTTTTTTTCTATCTGCAATAATTATCGAGATAGCATTAAGCGGATGAAACTTTGAGGAGCTGCTTTACCCTTTAAACTTGATCTATTGCCGATAAAAAATATTTGGCTCTCCTATTTTTGGTTATTATATAAATATGCTAAGTCCGTCGAAATTGGACACACACTTCGCGGATGTTTGTGCAAAGTCTCCGAGCAATTACTGTCTACTAAATCCAAGCTAGTAAAAAGTAGTCAGTTTCTCGCGGCAGCGACCTGTTTTTCTTGGCAATTTTTCTGCTCGCATCCCCACCATAATAATTGTATAATCAAGTAACACGTCATTTCGTATGATGCGTCTTATTTATTTTTTCTTTATTTAGTCACGTGTACATAGCAATCGTTACACACTCAGAACACTTAAATGAAAATTAAAACGTGTGTACACCAGTGTTAAGTCTTAATTAATAACTTCTGTAAAGAAGCATTTCTTCTTCTATTCCGTTATTGTCATTGTCAGGCCAGATTTCGTTATTGTTATCGAGAGTGGTGTCGTTGCCATTAAATGTATCGCTTATTCTTTTTTTACTGCTCATTTTCATCGGGTATAATTGACGTCGTACTTTGCCATGTCGTAGTTTGCTGTGTCGTTGTCCACTCCTGCGTCGTTTCTTCCGTTGTTATTATCAGCTCATTGTTGTTGTCGTTACAGATGTGTTGTTATCGGCACCGAAGTTGTTGTTGTCGGTACCACTGTTGTTGTTGTTGGTACCGTTGTTGTTGTTGTTGGTACTTCTATTGTTGTTGTAGGTACCTCTGTTGTTGTTATAGGTACCACTGTTGTTGTTGTAAGTACCTCTGTTGTTGTTGTCGGTACCACTGTTGTTGTTGTAGGTACCTCTGTTGTTGTTGTCGGTATCTCTGTTGTTGTTGTAGGTACCACTGTTGTTGTTGTAGGTACCTCTGTTGTTGTTGTCGGTACCACTGTTGTTGTTGTAGGTACCTCTGTTGTTGTTGTCGGTACCACTGTTGTTGTTGTAGGTATCTCTGTTGTTGTTATCGGTACCGCTGTTGTTGTTGTAAGTACCTCTGTTGTTGTTGTAGGTACCTCTGTTGTTGTTGTCGGTCCCGATGTTGTTGTTGTGCTTAGACTTATGCAGTAACCTTGTACTGTTAACGCGAATTTCTTGTGCCATCGTCTTCTTGCCTTCACTAATATGGATGTCGTGCCGACATCACCTGAAAGTTGTACGAAGTGAATGCCATCTATAATGCCACTTATAATGCCATCTATACTGCTAATCCTAACATAGGTGATGATTTCGTTGGACGGGCACTTCACGTCGATTATGGTTTCCATGGGCTTCCAAATGATTGGAATCTAGAATGAATTTTACAACAATGCAACATTATTCTTACATATCTATTTTTATGTTGATCATTAACGTATTATACTAAAGGAACGATTCCAACTAAATAAATGGATAGTGCAAATAAATAAATAAATAGATAAATAAATATTAATATAATTTTTTCTCATAAAAGTTACTGAACGCTTGCTATGACTCACGATACATGAGCGTTAAAGACAAATCTCGATTTCGTCACGCATGACACGCATGAATTAACACGAGAAGTACATTTCTTTCGCATTCGTTTAAAATCAAATGACCAGTTTGCTTCTACGATGTAAAGATCACAGAGTAATTCGGGAAAATCGGTGAGACGGTGAGAAATCTTCGTTCCTCAATCATGGTATGCAAACGACTATTTACCTTAACGATGATCTTATTGATGGAGAGGTAGTCGCCTGGCTGGCGTTTGCCACGTTCGAAGTTAGTTGCTAATACGCAGATGGCCATGGAAAAGCACAAAACCGTGCTGAGCAAAGAGCGCATTTTGAATTCTTCGTTTGTCGTGAACTCGCTTGTCAACTGAAATTCACTGCTCGACCGATGATTGGTGTCACCATTTATATACTGTCGTTATCAATATACTGGGCTCGTTTCTATGAGGTATCATATCATGTTAGCTCAAATGCTTTTGTCGTCTGACAACAACTTACGTAAGATCATTTGTCACCGTTTCTGACGCATTTCTTCTGTGCACATGAATGCACACGCATACCTTTATCTTATTCTTGACGACAAAGACATTAGGGCACATTAATTGTTGTATTTACGCGTTATTTTTATAATAGTTATCCCATTATTTTGTCGTCAATTACATAAGGCATATCGAAATGACTGTTTAACATAATTAATGTGGAATTAATGTGGATAGTGCAAAGTGTCCGAGCAATTACTGCCTACTAAATCCTAGCTAAAAAAAACTAACCGGTTTCTCACGGTAGTCATCAATTTTTCTTGGCAACTTCCCTACTCGCATTTCCATCATGATAATGTAAACAATCGAGTAACACGTCGTTTCGTATGATGCGTCTTATTTATCTTTTTCTATATATTTAGTCACATATACATAGCAATTGTTACACACTCAGAAGTTAAATTAAAACGTGTGTACGGCAGTCTTAAGTCCAAATTAATAATTTCTCTAAAGAAGCTCTTCTCTCTCTACTCCGTCATTGTCATCGTCAGGCCAGATTTCACCATCGTTATCGGCAGCATTGTCATTATCATCGCATGTGTCACTTATTCTTTCTTTACTGCTCATTTTCACTGGTTGTAGTTGACGTCATACTTTGCCATGTCGAAGCTTGCCGTCTCCTTGTCTACTCCCGCCTTGATCATTCCGATGCATCTGAGATAATCGTATTTAGATTTATACAGTAACCTTGTACTCTTAACGATAATCCCTCGCCTATTTTTCCTGTTGCTACCACCACTAAGGATGACGTGCCGACATTTCCTGCCAACAGTTGATAGCTAACATCTTTGTCATGTTTTATACTGCTAATCTTAACGTAGGTGATGGTTTCGTTGGGCGGACACGTTATGTCGATTGTGACTTCCAGGGCTATCCAAGGGAACTCAGGCTGCAATACATATGTAACATTATTCTTATACAGGGTGCTAAATTTCAAACGTAAGCCGTAAAAAATCTCGAAAACTATGAAAGATATTAAAAAAAGCTAAAACACGTGTTGCATGATTTCGAAGGGGAAAGAGAATGGCATTATCAGTTTTTTATTTGGAGGGTATTTTCAAGGTCAGTTGAAGGTCAACTTAATTTTTTTAAATAGAAAGTCCAATTTTTTATTATATCTTTTTTTCTACCAATTAATTTTAACAACTTTTGTCTGAAACATTTTTTGATAATTATGCAGAAATAGGGATCACTTCCCGATGTCAATGATTTTCATATGTTATCATGGTCATCACTCCGAGTAATGTTCTGAAAGTTTTTGCCCGCGCTCATTGTTTATAATAAAGTTATAAACAAAGTAAATATATTAAATGGTACATAATTTTCTGACACTCTATACATATATCAAGCTTCTTACAATGTTTATTGAGTGAAGATTCATTTGTGTTTACATTCTTTCTATGTTTCGGTTTATCTTATTATATGTTGTTGATATTTATTGCAATTTTAAATCGGTTCTCTAGGAAAAATGAATCAGTATAGAATAGTTAGTCAGTATAGAATAGTTAGTTACAGATAACATCATATTACTGCAAAATGAAATTCTATGAATTTTTTACTTTAACGACGAAATATGACGAGCTAGTGAGCTATTTATGTACGAAAAATGTTATTCGTAAAAATGTAAAATGTCTGCATTGCAAAAATATCATAGAATTGAATAGTGGACGACTACTTTTTCATTGTATGCACCATTATTACCATTATTATCATTATTACCATTATTACAAGCGAGCACAAAAACAAAAACGCAAACGATTAATTTGTAACTTTAAAATGAGTGCGTTAAACGGAACTTGGTTTTCGCACGGGCATTTAGGTATTAATATAGTTTGTCGATTAATCTGTTATGTAATGATGTTCAATACTCCTCGACAAATATTTCTGCAAAAAAAGTTATATGTAAATGAAATTTTATAGATAGAGCCCACTTTTTTACACACAATATACATTAAACAATATTAAACAATATATACAAGCGGGAGAGGGGCTTCGCCCCAAACAAATTCTAATCTAACCTAACTTATTGCATCTTTATATATTTTTGGACATTGTTGAACAAATTCTCTTAAGATCTATCACCTAACCCAACTTAACTTATTATATCTGCATACAATTAGATGTTGTGAGTTTTAAGGAAACTTTTTTAACAACGCCGAAAAATATATAAAGATGCAATAAGTTAGGTTAGGATTTGTTTGGGGAAGGGTTGCGGGAGAGGGGCGTAGCCCCTTTGCCGCTTATATATACTGTTTAACAATGTTTAATGTACATTGGGGTCCCCTAAACAACATATTTACTTTATTTTGTTTATAATTTTGTTATAAACAATGAGCGCAGGCTAAAATTTTCAGAACATTATTCAGGGTGATGATCTTGATAATATATGTGAAAATCATTGACATCGGGAGCTAATCCCTAATTCTGCATAATTACCTATTTTTTTATTGGCCTAATATTTTTTTAAATATTTAAGGAAAACTTGGTAACTTTTTCAACATTTAACATTACACAACATTTAACTTACGATATCTCATTAACTATTCGTCGAAAGAAAAAATAGTATTAGACTTTTTTACCTTATTTACCATCAAGAATATATTACTATAATAGCGTCTTAACTTTTATTAACTTATCAACCATTGGAAATTACAAAATTATTAAATTAATATCCATTCTTGTGTTGATCATTAATCTATCGTTTTGGGACATTAACATTATTCATAAACGAACGAAAATAAATAAATACATAAATAAATAAATATTAATACGACCATTCTTTCTTATAAAAGTTACTAAACGCTGACTGCGAATCATGAACGTTAAAAGAAAATATCGATTTTGTCACGCATGACACGCATAAATTAACATGAGAAATACATTTCTTTCGCATTCGTTCAGAATTGAATGGGCAGTTTGCTTCTGCGAAGTAAAAATCATAGAGCAATTCGGGAAATCGGTGACGTGAGAAATCTGTGTTCCGTTATTTATTCATAATGTTAGAAATGATGTAGAAACGAGCATTTACCTCAATGATGAACTCGTCGGTGACGGAGTGGTCGCCCGTTTTGCGTTCGCCGCGTTCGAAGTCGTTTGCTAGTATGCAGACAGCCATGAAAAGGCACAAAGCCGTGGTGAGCAAAGAGCGCATCTTGGATTCTTGATTTGTTATTGATGCACTTGTCAATGGAAACCTCACTGCACGACCAATGATTGCCGTCACTATTTATATACTGTTGGTATCAATGTCTTGGACTTATTTCTATGAAGTATCGTATCATATTAGCTCAAATGTTTCTGTCGCTTGATGCTGAGGTAACAACTTACGTAACATGATTTGTCTCTGTCTCTCACGCGCTTCTTCTTTGCACACGAATGCACACGCACACCTTTATCTTATCCTTGACGATAATAACGATGGACTACATTAATTATTGTATTTACGGACGAAACGCCTCATTTTTTTGGTCCCATTATTTTATTATCCATATAAGGCATATCGAAATGCCTGGTTAACAAAATTAATGTAAATCTTAGTACAAAGTTTCCGAGCAATTACTGTTTATCAAATCCTAATTAATAAAAACTGGCCAGTTTCTTGTGGTAGCCACCAGCTTTTCTTGGAAATTTTTCTATTCGCGTTTTCACCATGATAATTCAATCGAGTAACACGTCGTTTCGTATGATGCATCTTATTTACTTCTTTTTTCTATATATTTTGCCACATATCCACAGCAACCGTTACACACTCAGAACTTAAATTAAAACGTGTGTACGGCAGTCCTAAATACAAATTAATAATTTCTCTAAAGACTACTCCATCATTATCATTGTCAGCCCAGATTTCATCGTCGTTATCGGCAGCATTGTCATTATCATCGCATGTGTCACTTATTCTTTCTTTATTATTCATTTTCACCGGATGTAGTTGATGTCGTACTATGCCATATCGTAGCTCGCCGTATCGTTGTCTGCTCTCCCATTGTTTCTTCCGTTGTTGTTGGTGCCTCTGAAGTATTTTTCTTTGGATCTATGCAGTAACTTTTTATTCTTAACGATAATGAGTCACCCTGTTTTCCTGTTACCGTCATCTCTAAGGACCTTGTACCGACATCACCGGAATTGAGTTGAAAGTTAACCTCTTTGCCATTTGTATTGCTAATCTTAATATAGGTGATGATTTCATTAATCGGGCACTTTATAATGACTATGGCGGTCCTGGGTCTCGGCTCCCAACTCGGTTCCAAGGCTGCAATAAATATGCGACATTATTCTTAAATATCCATTCTTAAGTTAATCATTAACATATTGTACTTGAACATTAACGTACTTGTAAAGGAACAATTCCAAATAAATAAATAGATAGCGCAAATAAATAAATAGATAAATAAATAAATATTAATATAACCGTTTCCTCTCAAAAAAGTTATAAAACATTTGCTCACAATACGCGAGTGTTAAAGGCGAATCTCGACTTCGTCACGCATGATACGTATGAATTAATACGAGAAATACATTTCTTCTGCATTCGCTCAAAATCGAACGGGCAGTTTGCTTCTATAAAATAAAGATCACAGAATTATTCGGGAAAATCGGTGACGTGAGAAATCTTCTCTCTCTCCCTCTCTCTCCCTCTCTCTCCCTCTCTCTCCCTCTCTCTCCCTCCCTCTCTCTCTCTCTCTCTCTCTCTCTCTCTCTCTCTCTCTCTCTCTCTCCTCTCTCTCTCTCTCTCTCTCTCTCCCTCCCTCCCTCCCCTCCCTCCCTCCCTCTCCCTCCCTCCCTCCCCCTCCCTCCCCTCCCCCCTCTCTCCCTCCCTCTCCCTCCCTCCCTCCTTCCCTCCCCCCTCCCACCCTCCCTCCCTCCCTCCCTCCC